GTTTTCCATTTTGCCTCAGTCCATTTTAAATGATCTGTGGCACAGAGAAGATGCAAGTGTTTCTGGATCATGTTTACATATGGCTTGTTCTTTGCATGGCAGCGCTGTAATCTGCATTTTTGGATGGCACATTTATTATCCTGGGTCTGTTTTTTTTATTTTAGATTTCTAGTTTGTTAATTTAAATATTCTGTGAGGCATCCAATATTGACTTTTAGTGTTGTCCTTTGCACACATATTCTGTGAGTCTTTGGTGATGTGCTGTACATGATGAGATATACACAAAGTTTTCACAGTTTTAAACTAATAAACATTATTTTGAAATTGATCCATAATATGTTTTTGCAGATCGGTGACCCTCTGTCCGGCTTTACTTCTGAGAAACTCTGCCTCTCTAAGTTGCTCTTTTTATGTGCAATCATGTTACTGACTTGTTGCAAATTAACTTTTAAATGTTCCTCCAGCTGTTATTTTTTGTTTTTAGTTCCACTTATTATTTAAACATTTTGTTGCCCCGACCTAGCATGTTTGCTCCTGCCATCAAATTCAAAATGAATTGATATTTTTGATAAAATAGTAAAATGTCACATTTTAAACATTTGATATATTGTCTGTGTTATACTGTTTTATTATTATTTGTTTTCTATGTATTATTATTTATTATTATTAGTTTTCTCATTATTAGAAAAATAATCGATGAATAGCTACCTTACCGTGGCAGGAGGGTTTGTGTGTCTCAGGGATCCTAAGGGATGTTGCTGGCAGGCTTTTGCCCCTTCTGAGAGAATAAGCTGGCCAAAGCAGGTGATAGAAGCCACTGACATCTAGACAAGTTTCTTTACCATGTATGAAAGGGTTTCACCCCAAATCCAGCACCATGAGACTGTAGACTAAGCAGAAGGAAGGAGGCCGAGGACTAGTGAGTGTCAGAAACACCGTCCAGGATGAAACAACAGAGATCTGTGAGTACATCAGGAAGATGGCCAAAACTGATCGTATGCTTAGTGAACACTTCAGCCAGTAGAAACCCAAGAAAGAAGAGGAGAAGGAAGAGGAACCATCAGGGAAAGACAGGCCTCTGCACTTCATGTACCACAGGAGATGTGGCTGACATACAAAAATTTACAATGGCTCGACTAAGCTGGTCTGAAAGACAACACAGGGT